GACTTATTTCACTTAGAATGACATTCTCTAGGAGCATCCATGTTGCTGCAAATGGCGTTATGTTGTCAGATTTTATGGCTGAGTAGTATTCCATTGTATAAATATACCACATGTCCTTGACATTTCTCTTCTTATCAAGTATAGGATCATCACACACAGAAAATCGTTATCTTAATTTTCCACATGGTGAAACTGAGGCTCAGAGGAATGGAGTAATTTACATGGTCACATAGCTGACAATTGATAAAGTTGTGAATTTCACCCTACTATTAGGTTGAACCATATGAAATTGCTATTTTTTTCAACAATGGTCTAATATTGGCAATTGCATGTGATTCAACCTAATAGAATGTAAACTTCTTGAGGCCAGGAATCTTTCTGCTTTCTTTGCTATTATAGCTCCATAGCCTTAACTAGTGCTTGACCTATTAGGGAATCAATACGTATTTTTTGAATGAATGAATGAAAATTTTTGTTTTTATAGTCTACACTCATTCCCCTATGGTGATGTTTCCCAAACTTCAGTTATATTTTAACATCACCAAAATTTTGCCTTATCCACATGCTCATGTACCTTTGAAAATTATCTGATTGGTACTGATAATACCCCATTAGGTAAGGGTGGAGCATATGCCACATTTTAGACACTGCTGCCCTTAACACCATCTTGGCTACAAGGAAGAATGAGAGTTAATATACAGGCCCCAAATAAAAAATGTACCAGAGTCGTTAAAAGTTCTTTGATGTAAAATGGTCCTAAGGGAGAACAGCAAATGAAGAAACATCTATTCAACAAAAAGTATGAAATTCAGTAAGAAACATGAGATTTGTGCTATATATGAACCAAGATAATCCCCTCTCTTCTCTCTATCAGGTCAGAGAGGCAAGACTTCACTTCATACTCCTTAATCCAAGAACAGAAGGTTTACTCTCCCTCCAGCCCCCAGTTAGAAGGCTTTCTTCTCAAGAGGAGCAAGATGTCAGCATTTCTCTTCCTGCTCTCCACTACTTGTTACTGAGCCCAAGTCCCAAGGCAAGTACGGTTGAGAGGTGGGGTTTTCTCTTGCCACTCAGCCTCCACTTGTTGAATGGAGACTATACTTTGGGCACAGCATGCTGAGAAGACTGGGGCACTAGTTACTTTGGCCACGCTTGTAAGGCTGTGGTTACAAACCAGGCGAGGCTAGTTGAGAGAATCACAGACTGCTGCCATTCCCCAAACAAGTGCTCATCTCCTATAGTGGAGGTGTTCCTCAGACAGAAGCTTACCATTGTCCCTACTCCTAGCGCCAGGGCCCTGTCTCAAAGATTGTGCCAGATAAAGAAGCCAATCATAAATAGAAGACGCCTAAGAAAAGAAAGATCTCAAATCAATAATTTAACTTTCCACCTTAAGACACTATATTAAAGAACAAGTGGAATCTAAAGCAGCCAAATGGAAGCAAATATAAAGATTAAAGTGAATATTAATTAGCAAAGAGGAAATCAAACCAAACACTGATTCTTTGAAAAGATCAACAAATCAGCAAGCCTTTAGCAAGAATAACCAAGATAAAAAGAATACTCAAATTGCTAGAGTCAGAAATGAAAGAGGAGACATTACTACCAGCCTTACAGAAATAGGAAAGGATTATAAAGGATTACTGTGAACAATGGTAAGGCTACAAATTAGATAACTAAAATGAAATGGACACATTCCTAAAAAGACAGAAACAAATTTAACTGAATCAAGAGCTAACCAATCTGACTAGACTTATAAAAAATGAACAAATTGAATAAATACTGCAAAAAGTACTTACAAAGAAAATTCGAGATCCAGATGAATTGAACACTGAATTCTATCAAACATTTAAAGGAGAATTATTAACAATTATTTACAAAATCTTCCATAAAGTTTAAGAGGAGGAAACATTTCCCAACTCAATTTATGATGCCAGCATTACTCTGATACCAAATCCAGATGAACATACCACAAGAAAAGAAAACTATAAATCAGTAACTTTATTAATATGGATGTAAAAATCCTCAACAAAGTACTAGCAAATAAACCCAGCTTCATATAAAAATAATTATAAAGTATGACCTAATAGGATTTATCTCAGGAATGCAAAGTTGGTTTAACACTTGGGAATCAATTAATGTAATATTTATCAATAGAATAAAAAATAAATTCTTGTAATCTTCTCAATAGATGCTAAAAAAGTATTTAACAAAAGTCAACATATTTTCATGATAAAAACACTCAACAAACCAGGAATGGAAGGGACTTACTTAACCTTAATATGAAACACCCACAGCTAACTTCAAACTTAATAAAGAAAGACTAGATATTTTCCTGTAAGACAGTGATGCTGGTCATACCATTTCTATTCAACATTGTGCTGGAAGTTCTAACCAGGGCAACTAGGCAAGAGAATGAAATAAAAGTCACCCATATTGGAAAGGAAGAAATAAAACTCTCCCTGTTCAGAGATGTTTTTGTATATATGAGAAATCCACTAAAAAATCTAAAATAAAAACTAATAAACATGTTCAGCAAGGTTACAGGATAAAAGATCAATATACAGAGGTTGTATTTCTGTAATTCTTGCAATGAAAAAATTGGAAATGAAATTGAGAAAATGATTCTATTTGCAGTAACATCAAAAAAAGTTTATGATTAAATTTAACAAAACAATGCAAAGCCAATGTGAAAACTACAAAACATTGTTGAAAGAAATTAAAGATCCACATAAGTGAAAAAAAATCCTATGATAATGAACAGGAAGTCTTAACATTGTTAAGATGTCAATGCTCCCCAAGGTTATCTGCAGATTCAATGCAATCACTATCAGAATCCCAGCTGACTGTAGTAAGAACTAGACAGGATGATTCTAAAATTCATATGGATTGCAAGGGATCCAGAATGGTCAAAACAATTTTGAAAAAAAAATAAAGAGCTTGCAATTTCTGATTTTTAAATTTACTACAAAACAACTAATCAAGAGAGTGTATCACTGGCACAAGTATAGATGTATAGATCAACAAAATAAAATTGAGAGTCCAGAAATAAAAACATCTATATTCAACTAGTTTTAAACAATGGTACCAAACCATCCAATGAGGGAAAAATAGTCTTCTCAACAAATGATTCTGGGACATACATTTGCAAAAGAATGATGTTGGAACTTTGCTTCATGTTATTTATAAGAATTAACTAAAAATGGATCAGAGACCTAAGTTTAAGAGATTAAAACTGTAGAAGTCTTACAAGAAAACAGAAAAAAATAGAAAAGAAACCTTAATTACAGGGAGATAAGTAATTCACCTGATAAAGAATTCAAGGTAATGGTTATAACTGTGGAGAAAATGAATGAATGCAGTGAGAACTTCAAAAAAGAGAAGAAAATACAAAAAAGTACAAAACAGATGTCACAGAGCTGAAGGATATAACTGCACTGAAAAATACACTAGCAGCAGATTAAGAGAAGAAGAAAGGACCAGTCAACTTGAAGACAAGGCAGTGGAACTCAAAGAATCAGAGCAGCAATTTTTTTAAAAGAATTTTAAAAGGTGGAGATATTTTAATGGACTTATGGTAAAACACCAAACAGACTAACAGTCACATCATAAGGCTCTCAGAAGTAGGAGAGTGTGAAAGGGGTAGAAAAGTTATTTGAAGAAATAATGCCTGAAAATTTCCCTGAGTAAGGAATCATCCAGATCAAGGAATTCTAGAGAGTTCCAAAAAAAAGGGGGGGGGAGTGCAAAGAGGCTCACACTAATGCATATTATAATTATAATGTCAAAGTAAAAGACAAAGAGAGAATTTTAAAAGTAGCAGGAGTAAAGTAACTTTTTATGTACAAGGAAGAAGCCCTCATAAGAGTAGCAGCATGCTTTTCGGCAGAAACTTTGCAGATCAGAAGGGAGTGTAGCAGTACATTCAACATGCTAAAAGAAAAAAAAAGAGTTCACCCCAAATACTCTACCAGACAAAAGCATCATTCAGAAGTGAGGGGGAGATAGAGTTTTCCAGACAAGCAAAAGCTAAAGGAGCTCATTTCCACTAAACTGGCCTTACAAGAAATGTTATAGGGCCTTCTTTAAGCTGAAAACAACAGCATTCATTAGTAACAAGAACATGTGTGAAAGACTCAATCTCACTGGAAAGGCAAAGTATATAGTAAAGGTAGTGAATTAATCACTTATAAAGCTACTATGAAGGTTAAAGTACAGAAGCAGTAAAAATAAAGTTTATTACAATAATTAGTTAAGGGATATACAAGGTAAAAAAGGATGTAAAATGTGACATCAAAAACATAAAACATGGGGGAGTAAAAATGTTGAACTTTACAATGAAATCAAACTTAGGTTGTTATCAATTAAAACATATCACTACAGATAAGTGTTGTTACATGTAAGCCTCATGGTAACCAGAAAGCAAAAACCTATAGTAAATCCACAAAAGATAAAGAGAAAGGAATATAAGTACATGACTGCAGTCATCAAAACAAATGAGAGCAAGAGAAGAAGAAAGGAACAGCAAGGAAGTACAAAAATGACCAGAAAACAATTAACAAATTGGGAATAAGGACATGCCTATGAACAATTACTTTAAACGTAAATAGACTAAATATTTTAATTAAAAAGCATAAAGTAGTTGAATGGATTTAAGAAAAAGATCTATCTATCTATATACTGCCTACAAGAGAAACTTTAGATGTGAGGACACACACAAACTGAAAGAGAAGTGATTAAAAATGATATTCCATGTAAATGGAAACCAGAATATAGCTGGAGTAGCTATACTTAAACAAAATAGACTTTAAAACAAAAATTGTAATAAGAGACAAAGAAAAGGGTTACATGATGATAAAGGAATCAATCCAATAAGGAACACTATAACATTTGTAAATATTTATGCATCAAACTTAAAAGCTCCTAAATATATAGGCAGATGTAAACACACCAAAAGGTAGAGATAGAGAGCAATACAATAATAGTACAGAACTTTAATATCCCACTTAAAGCAATGGATACATCAAGACAGAAAATCAATAAGGAAATACGGACCTTATTCTATGCAAATGGAAATCAAAAGAAAGCCAGAATAGCAATACTTACATCAGACAAAATAGACTTTTAAAATAAAGACTGTTACAAGAGACAAATAAGGACCCTACATAATGATCAAGGAATCAATCATTCTCTAGGATAGATCACATACTAGGCCACAAAACAAGCCTTGGTAAATTTAAGAAAATTGAAATCATGTCAAGCATCTTTTCTGATCCCAACACTATGAGGCTAGAAATAAACTACAAAAAAAGCAAGAAACACAAACACGTGGAGGCTAAACAGTAAGCTACTAAACAAGCAACAGATCACTGAAGAAATCAAAGAGGAAATAAAAGAATATGTAGAGACAGTGAAAATAAAAATGTGTTGATCCAAAACCTATGGGATGCAACAAAAGCAGTTCTAAGAGGGAAGAGTAAAGTGATAAAAGCTTACCTCAGGAAACAAGAAAATTCTTAAATAAATAACCTAACTTTATACCTAAAGGGACTAGGGAACGAACAAGCAAAACCAAAGTTAGTAGAAGGAAATGAATCATAAAGATCAGAGCAGAAATAAATTAAATAGAGTCCAAACAATAGAAAATGTCAATGAAACTAAATGCTGGTCCTTTGAAAAGATAAACAAAATTGATACACTTTTAACCAAAATCATCAAGAGAAAAGAGAGCCCAAATCAATGAAATCAGAAATGAAAAAAGAGAAGTGACAATTGACGCCACAGAAATACAAAGAATCATAAGAAACTACTGCAGACAACTATATACCAATAAAATGGACAACCTAGAAGAAATGGACAAATATCTAGAAAGGTACAATCTCCCAAGACTGAATCAGTAAGAATTAGAAAATAAGAACAGACCAATTACCAAGAGTGAAATTGAATCAGTAATTTTAAAATTCCCAACAAATAAATGTCCAGAACCAGATAGCCTCACAGGTGAACTCTACCAAATGCTTAGAGAAGAGTTAA